CTTTTCACCAGCTGGAACTCACCCATGAGTCGCGAGAAATCACAACATTCGTCACCTCTAAGGGGTACTTTCGTTTCAAAAGATTAATGTTTGGAATGAATTGCGCGGCTGAGATTTTCCAGCGAGAGCTTGAAAAGATCCTTAAGGGCTTGGAAGGAGTTGTGCATTACATCGACGACATTTTAGTTTCTGGGCGTACGAAAACTGAGCATGACCGAAGAGTAGCTGCGGTAAGAAAGCGACTAAGAGATCATGGATTAACCACAGACAAACAGACATAACACTCGCAAGGTGTTCATCGAACAAGCATTTAACGGTCAATTTAAAAGTATCGTAGTTGGTAGTACCACCACCTGTGGCGTGCATAGTCATTTCCCTTGCGTTTGACGTTTACACACTACCGCCACCTGTGCAGTGTACTACCCACCACAGTGTACTCAACAGATGGCGGTAATGTTTTAGCGACGATGTTTTACAGTGAGAAATATTCAATGTGTTATGTCTGTTTGTCTGTGGATTAACCGTGAACGAAGGAAAGTGTCAGTGGGGACAAAAGAGAGTGACGTTTCTAGGACACAAGCTTTCTGAGGATGGTATCTTGCCAACGGAGCAGAAAATTAGTGCAGTAAAATCGTTCAGGCGTCCAGAAACAGCAGAAGAGGTGCGTAGCTTTTTAGGGCTCGCTAACTATGTGGGAAAATTCATCCCTCATCTATCCACTATCAGTGCACCACTGCGTGCAATAATACGAAAAGGAGTTCACTTCCAATGGACTAAGGAAGCAAACAAATCATTCGTCGAGATTAAGGATGCTATGTCCAACCCGCGGCATCTTGGATTCTACAATGCGGACAGCGATACCACATTAGTTGTTGATGCAAGTGCGACAGGTCTTGGGGCGGTGTTACTGCAAAGCGACAATGACAAACGACGAGTGATCAGTTATGCTAGTAAGAGTTTGTCAAGAACGGAGCAGAAGTATTCGGTGCTAGACAAAGAAGCGATGGCGATCTACTGGGGAATCGGACGTTTCGAAATGTACTTGAGAGGAAAATATTTCACCGTGATCACCGATCATAAGCCGCTGGTGAGAATATTCGCCACCGATTCAGCTCCTAATGCACGACAGCAAAGATGGGTTCTGCAACTACAGGGATATTGGTGTATGCTGCTGGGAAAAGCAACATAGCCGATCCGTTGTCCCGATTAGCTCAAGACGATGGCTGTCGTAGTAATGACCGTGACTGTGAAAGTGATCTATGTGCCACGATCGAAAGTGCCTTACCATCCACGATGTCAATGACAGAAGTTATCCAACACTCAGAAAATGATGCCGAGTTCCGGAAAGTTCGCGATGCAATCAACGCTGGAAAATGGAGTTGTGAACTAAAGCAGTACTTGCCGTTCCAAAATGAGCTGTGCTGTGTGAATCAAGTTATTTTGCGACTAAACAAAATAGTAGTTCCTGAGAGTCTCCGTGGAAGGATTTTGGATCTTGCTCATAGTGGTCACCCAGGCAGCAATAAAATGAAGCGGCGACTGCGAGCATCCGTATGGTGGCCGGGAATAGACAAGGATGTGGAGCAGAGATGTAAGAAGTGTATCGAATGCCTAGCCGTTGGAACGGGTTCTAATCCGGAACCACTGCAGATTCGAGCAATGCCTTCGAAGCCATGGAGCCACCTGAGTGCAGATTTTCTTGGACCACTTCCGAGTGGAAGATTCCTATTCGTACTGGTAGATTACTACAGCCGATATTGTGTGGTGGAAATAATGTCCACTACGATTTCCGCAGCCGTTATACAGCGTTTGGAGCGTATATTCACTCGACTCGGACTACCCGATGTACTGACTACGGACAACGCAGCCAATTTCTGCAGTCAGGAGTTTAAGGATTTTTGCGTCGATAACGGGATCAAGCTTGCCCACACTACACCGTACTGGCCGGCTGCAAATGGTGAAGTAGAGCGGCAGAACCGCTCGATTTTGAAGGTTTTGAAAATCGGACAGATGAAAGGAGAAACGCTGGAGCGATGTCTGCAAGAATACCTATATATGTACACGGTCACACCTCATTCCGTGACCGGTGTATCACCAGCGGAGTTGATGTTTGGGAGAAGGTTCAGAGATAAATTCCCACAAATAAGTGAAGACCCGATATTAGAAGACGAGATTAAAGATCGGGACCTGATGCATAAGTATCAAGTTAAATTGTATCGTGACAAAAGAGTGAATGCACAAGAATCGAATATCGGAATTGGAGACCAGGTGTTAATGAAGCAGCAACACAGAATGAACAAGCTTGCTCCAAACTTTCATCCTGAACCAGCTGTGGTAATCGACAGAAATGGAAGCAACGTAATAGTCCAAACAGAAAAAGGTGAGATTTATCGGCGAAATTCTTCACACCTCAAAAGGATTCCGCAAGACTCGATCGACCAGAGTGGTTCGGTCAAGGGTTCGGTGGATATACAGCAAGGATCCAGCTCGTCAAATTCCAGCAAGTATGGCCGAGTATCATCAGCAACCACATGCACCTCTATACGAAAGAACCATTTACCAGAATCTGCTGAAGCAGGCGAGGAGGATACGGAGAATATTCTAACTCGTTCAACAGAGCTGACGGGTAGTACAGTCCGACCCAGACGTCAATCAAAGGTTCCGGTAAAGTATAAAGATTATGAGATGTAATTTGATAATTGATTGGAGGGCTTTACATTTTGTTTGAGAATGGGAGAAGATGTTATGTTGTATCTGGGAACACTGGGTCGAGTAGAGCAGAATAAAATGTGGAAGGAAGAATGGTTTAATAAAGTAGTCCTCGATTCGTGAACATGTGTTTCATTGTGTATCCGAATATAACACTACAAATATGATAATATTTAAAATTTAATATAAAAAATATATTGTCATAATAAAAACAACTCTTTTCGAACAGAAACAGTTTGCACTTCATTTTGAAAGCATTGGTTTTCCTTTTGACAGTTCTACCACAGACAAACAGACATAACACTCACAAGTTGTTCATCGAACAAGCATATAACGGACAATTTAAAAATACGCCACCTGTGGCGCACATAGTCAATTCCCTTGCGTTTGACGTTTACACAATACCGCCATCTGTTCAGTGTAGTGCCCACCACAGTGTACTCAACAGATGGCGGTAATGTTTTAGCGACGATGTTTTACAGTGAGAAATATTCAATGTGTTATGTCTGTTTGTCTGTGGTTCTACAATTTGATTCAAAAGCATCAACTTTTAAAATTAACGAAGAGGTAAACTTTTGATTTGACAAGTTACACATTTTTATTTTGAATGCTTCAGACTTTCTACCAAAAAGAACCAACGAAAACTTTTAATTCTACCAATGATTTTTTTAATTTTAGTAGTGATTATTTTGTGTGTGTGATTGTTTACAAAAGCTGTTACGCCCTAATTCCAGCTCTATCTAGATTTGCTGATCATATTGCCAACATGAATTTTGTGGAACACTGAGGCAAAGGAAGGTTTGAATTCCATAAGAACCACTTATGAAATATCGACAAAAGGAATCGGTCTAGGAATCGGTATGAATTTCATCGATTTGCCTTATGAAAAATTAGATTGACAAAACAAAATAAAACGAAGCAGACTAGAACCGAACCATGGACGTTGAGATTACGGGGTCTGTGTGTTGACCACTCGTCTTTCAACGCTTTGGAAAATAAAATGGTTTAAAGCGTATAAGACCTACCTCATGTTAGACAATCATTCATAAGTTTTGTCTTCTTTCCTTTATTTAACGTCGGTCTCTGTTCCGCAATCTAGTGCCAATCACCGACGGACATCGATTGCCATCCATTGACGGCAATCGAATGTGCAGGAAGGCAGCTTCCACACCTGCGTAGGATATCGCACCCATTCACAACACACATGGGCCGGGACCAACGGCTTTACTTCCCTTCCGAAGGAAGACGTGACCAGAGATTTTTATGCCTCAGAAAAATCCCACCGACCTCGGCTGGGATTGGACCCAGACCCATTGGGGTGTTAGAAAGCAGTCACGCTTACCACTACACCACCGGCGCCGGCTAAAAAAAAATAAACAAAATTCACATGTGTCGTTCATAAGTTGAGCCTTATGAAATTCTTATGTTTATTTGCCTCAGTGAACACATCAAAAAAAATTTGAAATTTTCTTAGTACTAGTATAAACAAATACCCTCTTCTGCCACACCTGTATAGACTCATTGGGTACTGCAGAAGTGTTGTACTAAACTGAATAGAAAATTCTTTCGTACACCATTGAATTCGCTGGGCAGATCGGGGCAGATAGGCAGCAGAGCAACGACGCAACGAGAGCCAAAGACGTTTATATTAGGTCCAAGCGAACAGGCGCTTGCTGGTGTTAGAAGCAAAAATATTGTAAACATTGCTGAGCACTCGAGTGATGACGTCACCCTCCATACTGCGAACAGTGAGATTTACGTCACTGCCAACAGCTGCTTCGTGTAAAAAGATAAACATTTCACTAACCCAAGCACTAACCCCAATAAGCCTGTTGGCCCGGACCTTACATGAAAGATATACCGTGCCACCCAGGCTTAATTTTATTAGTGAATGGATCATTGAAGATGCTGAGGTTTTGACAGCACCGTACTGTGGCTACCACAGTATTTTACATTGGTTCGTCCGTATACAGTAGCGCCAAATGAAAACTGTGGTGGGTTCAAAACTCAGCCATCTAAAATGATCCATTGAGAAAATGTTTAGTGGTGTTCGTTCATTGCAATGTTTATATTTTTACACGAAACAGCTGTTGCCAATGACGTCAATCTCACTGTTCGCAGTATGGAATGTTGTGGTAAAGTGACGTCGTTACTTGCGTGCTCAGTAATGTTTACAATATTTTGATTTGAACACCAGCAAGCTGCCTGTTGACTTGGACCTAATATAAACGTCATTGGCTCTCGTTGCTCATTGGTCCCGGCTGCCTTCAAGTTGCAGCTGTCACAGGCGTCGTTCGTCTTTTTCACCGTTCGTGAAAATTGTGATTTTGTCAGTGCAAATCTTCCAAATTCCTCTCTTTTGTTGCCGTAACTCGTGCATCAGCTGCTGCCCGTGAAGAAAAACCCATTTGCGGCAAGGTAAGCATTGATTGTGTGCTGTTTTGTGTGGATTGAAATTTTTTGAATTTTGTGAAAATCCATCATGGCGGTGCCGGAACACGGCTCCGAGCTACTTGCTATGGTTTCCTTTTTCGTCTGCGATGCCATCATCGATCTGTGCGAACATTGCTGCAAAATCTCGACGATACACGGTGGTATTGACAATTCTGCTTTGGTCACTCATTTGAACTAACAAATCATTTCAATTATTGTCAATGACAATGCTGTTAGTGACGAACATGTAGATTTTTTTACTAACTAAATTTGCATCGAAATTAAATGACCTGAGCAACACAGGGTTGTTTGATTTTTGCTCCCGGTCCAGAAATTTGTGGCATCGCGAGTGATAATTTTTAATTTCAGTTTATTTACGTGCTGTAAGGTGCTATAAACGGTATTCCGCTCATTGGGTATGTGACTCAGTTTTTCGTTGCTTTTAATTCCATCGGAAGTATTTTCTCCTGTGGGAACGGAAAAGTCGGAGAATATTCTTACTGTGCGGCAGATGATGTTCTGTGTATGATATGAAGTAAAAGTGGTATATCAGAAATAACTTGGTGCGATCCTTGAGATGATTCGTTACCTGTTCAAATGAGTATTTAGATGCCACGATCGTTCCAATACCACTAGCTTGCAACCAACTGGACGGGATTACTGGAAACATTAGATTTATTTGGTGATACCTTTCCATTATTAACATTTAATGTACCATTTAATAGATGACAAATTAAAATCTGTTAACTTTATTGCTTCCATTTGAATAATGATTCATTGTTGATATCAATATCGCACGAAAGTCTATCAATGACAATGACAAAGCTCAGCACTGTGTGCGAAGATGAAACGAAATTTGCTGAATTTTTAAATGGTGTAGATTTTGCGGGACGATATCGCTTTTACTTGTTGTAACTGTGCTATTTCGAATTGGCTGGTTTATTAACTGTGGAAAATTTAATAAGTCATCTCGCGGATAGCGGTATCGATTGATTAAAGATGTCTTTAAATAAGGGGGTGCTGCATTACGACCATATGGTAAATGAGTCTATTTTGCAGATGAGTCAAACGGATCTTGCTCCGGCGGAGGACTTGAACGGAATTACACCCAGTGACAATGAAAACCCTCCGGTTGGTCACCCGCAGAAGCGTGCCGTTCGAGGAGCGAAAAAGTCTGTCAGCAAGCAGGATTCTCTGCCGATTGAGGAAGCTCTGAAGACGGAGCTTACCGGTACGAACAACATGAAGACACCGATCTCGGTGCTGCAGGAGTTGCTGAGCCGGCGGGGAATCACCCCCCAGTACGATCTTATACAGGTAGAGGGAGCGGTCCACGAGCCGACCTTCCGATATCGTGTTTCGTACCAGGACAAGGATGGTAAATCGGTTTTACAAGCTAAGGTCTTGCTTAAGGTGGGTTTTGAAATTCATACATTTTTTCAGCCATGGGAACGGGCAAGTCCAAAAAAGAAGCAAAACATGCTGCCGCTAAGGCACTGATAGACAAGCTGGCTGGTAATGCATTCGGGGAGACGCAAACTGGAGGACTAAATATTAAAGCTGAGTAAGTTGACTCTTCCGAGCAGTTGACAACATTTGGTGTTAATTATTGTTATCGTTGCATTCACAGAGCCGGAACCGATGGCGAGGACGAACCATCGGGCAACCCCATCGGTTGGTTACAGGAGATGTGCATGGCCCGCCGCTGGCCACCACCAACCTACGAAACGGAGATGGAAGTTGGTCTGCCACACGAGCGGCAGTTTACCATTGCATGTGCGGTCCTGAAATATCGGGAAGTGGGCAAAGGCAAAAGTAAGAAAATTGCCAAGCGGCAGGCAGCCCAGCGTATGTGGCAACGGCTGCAAGATCAACCGCTGGAACCGAACCAAATCATCCAGATGCTGGACGAGGAAGGCAACGAAGAGGTGAGACCTAAATGAAAGTTTTGTTTTGCTGTTTTGCTCTAGCTGTTGATTTGATAATATGAAGTGTTGGTTATTATGGAACCAAATGCATTTTAAAATGGCTTTTGGAAGTAGCTGTCATTTATGGCTGCGGGGTTTTATTAGGACATTTCAGATTTACGAAACTAAATTGTTAGTCCGATGTATCTACTTTAAAATCATAAAAAAATTGATTTTTCTTAAGACGAATTTTGAAATCTTTCTTAACATTGCATTTGTGTTGTGTTGGAAATCGTATTGATTTGTTGCGAATTAAAAAAAATATAGTCACATAGAAACCCATTCAGTAAAAGCTGCTTTCATGCTAGAATGTAGCAAGAGACACACAATTTGTCAGTTTTGAGAAAGATTGCAAAATTCCTTTCCTACGTAACACTACTTTCATCGACTTCCGTTCGCCAAACCGTAAACAAATTGTGTGTTTGTTCCTCTATATTCTAGCTGAAGGCGGCCAGCATTTCCGGGCGGTACGCCGGACTGAAGGATGCTCGTATTCCCAGCCTGACTACCGGCCACGGCCAAAAAGTGTCCCAATTTCACAAGGCTCTGAAGTCGCGCAGTGGTGAAACATTGCGCCAATTGCAGGTATGTGTTCCTCGCCTTTTGGCCAGGTGATATTCCGTTTTAATTTAGCAATCGTTGTTAAAACTTCGAAATCTTTCGATAATCTCACAGGATGAAGTTGCTGAAAAGAATACCAGCAGACGTTTGGAAGAATACTTTAGCAAGCAAGCTCCAGCTCTTAAAATATTGAAGAAAGTTTAATGATTCACTAATATTGAAGAAAGTTTAATGATTAATGAATCCTCACAAATAAAGTTTATTGTTCAATTAAATGTTTGTTACCTTGCTTTAAACGAGGAGCTTTGCGAGGTATTCGAACATGCTCGCATTGCAGCTCACCCAAGGCAAGCGTTTATTAAGTTAAATTAAGAATGTTCGACAGAGCCAGGCCTCCAGATTGTTCCTAAATTTTCTTTCTTGTCAGCCAGTATACAGCCACCTTGTAGGAGGCCCGTCGTTAATGACGCGAATACTGGTTTCCCTGTTGGAACGATCGGGTTGAAGAGACTCCACGCAATGCTTATCCTCGGGCAGTCATTTTTGTTCTGTGAGCCTCTCCCCTGTTGCTTGGAATGGCAATTCCTTTTCAGATCTTTGACCTCTCACTAATAGGACGTTGAATGGAACCGATCTGGCTGCCCGGTAAGAAACTCTGTTGCTAGACAGATAATCTAGTAGTCAAAATTTAAAAAGATTTTTTTTTTCGATTGGTGTTTGGTTTAACATTGTTATGATCACAATAAATTATCCAGTTTCTAAACTCTTTTTCTAATGTGCGTTTCTTTCCAGGTCACGTGTCTGAATGACAAGTCAATCGATTTCGTTCAAATGTTGCACGATATCGCTTCCGAGCAGCGCTTCGAGGTGACATATGTCGATATCGATGAAAAGACCTTGAGCGGTCGCTTCCAGTGTTTGGTTCAGCTGTCGACGCTGCCGGTTGCCGTTTGTCATGGAAGCGGTATCACAACCAAGGAGGCTCAGACGGCAGCAGCGCGCAATTCGCTCGAATATCTGAAGATCATGACCAAGACATAAGCGGAAGAAAAGGTATGTTCGCAATTAATTTTGTTTTAACTATGCGATGAACTGTCGCTGTACGCATATCAGTTCCATGTTTTATAGAACGTTGATGTAGGGAAACGGTCATTTAGATGTTTGAAATGTTTCATATGTCACAAAGGTGCGTTTCATATTCCACCACATGTAGGTTAAACAAGATGCGATATGATGGAACATTGAGAATATTTGTATAAAATACAAATAAATACTTCCAGAAATCAGTTAAAATAACATATTGAAAAATGTGTTAATTGCAAGCCAACAAAATTGAACACGTTGCATTGAAATACTTCAAATTGTGTTGAATTGAAATGGTCCCTCATTTCACATCCGTTGAACCATTCTGAACGACCATCCCGCTGTGGTTATATCACAGCATTGCTAATAATGTATATATCTACATCTTTTCAAGTACCATGGAGTCAACAAAGTCAAAGTGAAAGAAGAGCAGCAAAATGGAGCACATGCGATACGACAATGGAGTGATGCTCGTTAAGAAAATACCCGGAGATGGGCACTGTTTATTTTCCGCACTGGTGTTATGGTTTCATAAGACGCAACTAGGAACTCAAGATCAGCACACAAAGATATGTAATGGACGTTAAAATGTCGTGGAACACATCAGAAATAACATGGGAGACTTTCGGGAGACTAGCAGCAATACAGAGAAGGACGAATGCTTCTTCGACGCTTTTGACTCCGGCGAGTACAGCGTTATTCGACGGTATGGACTTCTTGAACCTGAATCAAGTTAACGTGCAGTTGAATAATTTAGGTCGCACTTTCAATTTGGTATTCGCGCTTGTGGGTAGCTCTTCTGTAGTATATTCTGCTGATGATCCATTGCTGCCAGTAGATCTGCACCACCCCCTACTTAATATTCGCGTTAATGTTGCAGCTGAATGTCCTAGGCCACTTCCGTGGCAAATTAATTCGAAAGAGCACTCAATTACCGCAAAATCGACTTTGATGTGCTTTTCGCTTACCTGTCAGGCCTCGAGTGGAATTGTGTCTACGACAGTCTGGATGTCCATGACATGGCCTCAAATTTTTGTGCCATCATCCGTCAATGGTTAAACGTTCCTACGAAGAGAAAACCTGTCTCTCCTCCTTGGAGTACGCCCTTTCTTCGGAAATCTAAGAAAGAACGCAATCGATGGCAACGTTATTTCCGGGCGCATAAATCCGTATTTGCAAAAGCTAACTTCAAACGAACGAGCGACGGCTACAGGAAATTGAATGCTTCACTCTACAAATCACACGTTTTGAGGGTGCAGTTTGGTTTACGCCGGGATCCGAAATCATTTTGGGGTTTCATAAACAGCAAGAAGAAAAGCTTATCAGTTCCGCCTAATGTGATCTATGATGGAAAAGAGTCCAATAGTGAAGAAGAAGCATGCAATTTCTTCGCGATGCATTTCACATCCATCTTCGAACCAGTGTCATCGTCCGACGTCGAGACCGAACTGACTGCGTCAAATGTCGCGCTGGATGCAGTTGGTTTAAACACGTTCGAAATTTCATCTGCAATGATCATCGGTGCTTCAAAAAAGTTGAAGAATTCATTTGCTCCTGGCCCGGATGGTATCCCTGCTGCTGTTTTCCGCAGTAGCTGAGCCGCTAGCCTTCATTTTCAACCGTTCGTTTGAGCTAGGTGAATTTCCCATGAGATGGAAACTATCGTACATGTTTCCTGTGTACAAAAGTGGTGACCGACGAGATGTTAAAAACTACCGTGGGATAACCAGCCTTTCTGCCACATCGAAGCTTCTCGAGATTATCGTCAGTGATCAAATTCTACGCGCTACAAAAAACCACATTTCGTCAGACCAACATGGATTTATTCCCGGTAGGTCTGTTGCTACTAACTTGCTGGATCTAACTACTACCTGTTTTTCGGCTATGGAAGATAAAGCGCAGGTTGACCGTAATCTATACGGACCTAAAGGCGGCTTTTGACAAAATTGATCATAAAGTGTTGCTCTGCAAGCTATTGCGATTGGGAGCCTCAAATCGATTGGTGTCGTGGTTGTCATGATACTTGAATGGCAGAACGTTGTGCGTTAAACACGGATCTTATGTTTCATCGCCATTTGCTAGTACGTCCCGTGCCCCGCAAGGAAGTAATTTGGGACCGTTATTGTTTGTGTTATTCTTCAATGACGCTGCATCTACCCTTGGCCACAACTGCATGCTCGTATATGCTGATGATCTGAAAATCTATGTGGTGATACACTGCATCGAGGACTGTTTTCACCTGCAAATGTTGCTCAGTGGTGCCGCTCGAACAAGCTTATCATCAGCGTCGCGAAATGTCATGTGATGACCTTCTATCGGTCCAAAGACCCGTTAATTTATGAACACCACATCGATGATACTGTTCTTAGCAGAGTGGATCAAGTGACGGATCTTGGTGTCGTATTGGACTCGATGCTTTCCTTTCATTCCCATTCTGCATCGATTATTTCCAAGGCTAATCGTCAACTTGGCTTCATCTCTAAGATTGCCAAGGATTTCTCGGATCCACACTGTCTAAAAGCATTGTATTGTTCACTGGTAAGGCCGATCCTAGAAAATGCTTCAGTTGTTTGGGCTCCAAACGACGTATCATGGAATCTAAGAATCGAGCGTGTGCAAAAAATATTCATACGACTTGCGCTCAGCAACCTAGCGTGGCGTGATCCTTTGAACCTTCCAGCATATCCCGATAGATGCCGTCTGCTTGACCTCGGAATGCTTGATCGAAGACGTAAGCTACAACAGGCTACTTTTATAGCTAAATTACTCAACGGCGACGTCGATTGCTCTCATCTTCTGTCACTGCTTGATTTCCGTGCTTCAGGTAGGATGTTACGTCAGCAATCCCTGATGCAACCGAGCTTTCATCGTACTCTCTACACACTTAATCTAGCTCGGTAAAATCTCCAACAGTCGATTACCTCGGCATTTACTTTTGCTGATATCTCTGCAAAATATCTGTTTGTTAGCTGATATCTCAGCAAAATATTATTTGTTAGTTGAGTCTCGGCAATTGTTTTACTGAATCTCCGCAAATTAAATTGCAGAATCACTCGGCTGTTGGAATCTCGGCGAAAAAAAAAATAGTGTGTATGGCTACAACCAGCCTATTTGTGCAATGGTTCGTATGTTCGTATCCGTCGAGTCCGCGTTTGATTTTGGTATGTCCACACCTCAATTTGTGTGTAGAGTAAGAAGACTGAACCTTATTTAAGACGAATAGTTTATTCATTAAGACAACTTTGTCAGATGACATATTAAGTAAATAAAAATAAAAAAACATAGGGGAATTTACGTATTCTCGGCAACCTAAGCAGCGACCTTCTTTCTATAGCCTTTTTCTCTAAGGAACGCACACATATGCAGTATTGGTTTGTTTACAATCTTTTGCTGCCAGCTGCTCTAACATTTTCAGTCGAAATAATTGTCAAAAACTGTTTTGAAACGCTTTTACAAAGCTCCAATCTTCTCTAGTGAGAGCGAGTATTGTCGGCAACCAGTTTTTCTTCGGCAACCGTTCCATTTGAACTGCATGTAAATCTGCTGTTCTATTATCGGCAACTCGAAATCAGCTACAATTTGTAGTGCGTGTGTTGCATTTCAAGAAAACCTTGCTAGATTGCTTTTTCTCAGTGGTAAAAATATAGTCAAAGTGAAGCTGAAAGCATAAAGAATCGTTTGCATGCATTCAGCGAAGTGTTTTCGTAAGAAAATCCAGTGGAAATAGTGTTTCAATTTGTGTTGCCGAAAATAGTCTGTCATGCCGAAGCCGTCATTTCCCCTATATCTTATAGCCAGTTACTCCTGCCAGCGAAAAACAGAAGAAAACTTTCGACGAAGCGCATCACGCGAGAGATGAAAGTCGTAAACAGATGCAATTCTGTTGAATGTTCTCTGCAGTCCGCAAATCGCACCGTATGCTCCATAATTTGTGCGACGTAGAGGCAGTCTTAGCATAAGGTTATTACGAAGCGGTCGGGATTGAACATTCTGGTCCCTGTGTGCCTGCTCAAAACTGTTCGAGATTATCATAAATGATGCTCTGTTCGCACGCTGCAAAAATTATATCGATACAGAACAACACGGTTTCTACCCGAAGCGCTCCGTGTCCACGAACCTGGTGCAGTTCACTTCTAACTGTTTGCGATGCATGAATTCAGGATGGCAAGTCGATACTGCGTATATGGATCTAAAAGCTGCATTTGACACGGTGGACCATAATATATTGCTGGCCAAGCTGGAGATACTTGGCATCTCGTTAACTGCTGTGGATTGGTTCAGATCTTACTTGGTGAATCGCTATGTACATGTCAAGATTGGCGCGTTGGAATCGGATGTTTTCTCAAGCAACTCGGGAGTCCCGCAAGACAGTAACCGAGGACCGCTACTATTTTCGATCTTTTTAAACGATGTCGCCTTGCTGATACCATCAGGATGCCGCGTTTTCTATGCAGACGGTACGAAAATCTACAAAATTATTAAAAGTCTCTCGGACTGCTGGGATCTCCAGAATATGTTAGGTATTTTTGCTGACTGGTGCTCAAGAAATTTGATGAGTCTAAGCATAGAAAAATGTAACATTATTTCCTATCACCGAAAAATCGAACCAATCATGTTTGACTATGTTCTCTACGGACGCTGTCTTGCTCGTGTAGAGCACATAAAGGATCTCGGCGTTACCTTGGACTGCAGACTCACTTTCAGAATCCACTACAATGACATCATCTCCAGAGCTAATTGACAATTGGGCTTTATTTTCAAAATTGCCGACGAGTTTCGTGACCTGCTATGTCTCAGGTCACTTTACTGCTCGCTTGTGCGATCCTTATTGGAGTCAAGTTCAGTTGTTTGGTGCCCTTTCCATGCTAGCTGGATCACTAGAATTGAATCCGTTCAACGCAAGTTTGTGAGATATGCTCTTCGTTTCCTTAACTGGCGTGACCCAACGAACTTGCCACCGTACGAGGAGC